TTTCTTCATAACGCGCTTCACATCCTTCTTATACTTAAGAAGATTAGACAGCACTCCAGCACTGGTTACTTGGGAGCCATTTTAACCAGCAAAATTATCCATAAAAAACACAAAAACGTGAAAAATCATGCCGCTAAACAGACCATGAAAAGAACACCTGTTTACAGAGCGAGTATCCCCCACTTCTCAAAAATTCACTTTACGCCACTTTGTTTTTATGAAAGACCGACATTAGTACTGCTTTCGCTAACCAGAACAGATCCAAAGAGCATTTTCACTTTTATGAGAAGGCAGCAAGTGAAAACAGCATTTAGTATTTGTTTTGCAGGGAGTCATTTCAGAGGCAGAGTGCGCCCAGAGCAGCGACAGCGGCACTGCCAAGCTCCTGTCCTGGGAACTCCACCCAGCATCTCGAGCTGCTATAGTCTGCGAGCATCTGTGCATTATCTTGGTTTAAGCTGTGCATCCGTTAGCAAGAGGAGTCCTAAGGTAATTGCTTTTTTTACTTTATGTCATTTTGGCTCACCAAAGGTTTTACAGGAGCACTCTCCATTCATCCAAAAGCACTCTACTTTCACCCGAAATCAAGGCAAATCTGTACTACAGCTCAAACAAGGCAGCAGAGTGGCATCGTGTTCCCCTCCAGCGTCCCTAATTTACTGCCAGCTAACTTCTGATGTAAACACATCATTTACCAATCCAGAAGTTTATACTACACTGTTGACTACAACAAGGTACCAATTAGGATGTCCTGCATGATCTCATTTTTGTAAAACTTACAAAAAAATCACTTGAAGAAATATGGTCAAACAATAAAACACTAACAATGAAATTATGGACGGTCCTGTTTTTATTTCTTGTTATTCATATATTATCTTTTTTTAAACTAGTGAATATACATTACTGGTAAGTTATTTTTTATAACAGCTTTGAGATATAATTCACATAGCATACAAGTCACCCATTGAAAGTGTATAATTCATGGGACTTTCCTGGTGGTACAGTGGTTAGGACTCTGCTTCCACCATAGGGAGCACGGGTTCAATCCCTCATCAGGGAACTAAGACCCCACATACCACACGGCATGGCCAAAAAAAATAAAATAAAAAATAAAAGTGTACAATCCAAGAGCTTTTAGTATATAAAAGTTATGTGTAACCATCACTACAGTTTTAGAACATACCCATCACCTCTCATCTCACCCCAAGCCCTAAGCAACCACTCATCTACTTCCTATCTCTGTAGATTTGCCTCATCTGGATGTTTTATATATTAAATCATATAATATGTGACCTTTTGTGTCTGGCTTCTTTCACTTAGCATAATGTTTCCCAGGTTCAGTCATGTTGCAATATATTTTGGTACCTCACTCCTTTTTACTGCTAAATGATATTCCATTGTATACATAAAATATGTATATACCATATTCTATTTATACATTATCAGTTGATAAACATTTGGGTCATTTCCCCTTTTGTTTATTATGAATAATACTGCTATAAACACTCATATATAGGTTTTTGCTTGTACATGTTTTCATATCTTGGGTAGATAACTAGGGAGTGGAATTGCTGGTAACTCTAACCATTTGAAGAACTGCCAGGCTATTTTCCAAAGTGACTGCATCATTTCACATTCTCACAAGCTGAGTATAAGGACTCTGAGTTCTCCACATCCTCACCAACACTTCTCATTATTTAACTTTTTGATTACACAGTAAGTTGCTTATAAGTGTTCATTCTATCATAACAGGCTCAGATTTTTATGGTCTTCAAGGTACTCTTATTTCCTGACATCAAAATTTAGATTTGAAAAGAGTCCAAGAGGAAAAAAAAAAAGAGTCTAGTCCTAGGCCTGCTCACCTTCTGGAAAATGAGGAGACAGGAATAAATGAGCTAAATCCCCACCCACAAATAAAAACTTTTACAGAAGACATGAGATTTTCTAAGTATTCAAAAAAACAAAGTCTCTATCAGGGACCCAGCACTGAAATGAACATATGTTCCCATCAAAACTCATTTGCAATGCCTCTTACATAAACCCAACTTCAAACTGTAATAGCAGCAAACATGAATGAGAGTCTCAATCTACCACCTCTTATAAAAGAACCAAGATTGCTTGGGTTTTCCCACACAGAATTCATTGCTTAAATCCTGCTGTAGTACAGGAAGAGAAATGAAATCTGATTTAAGATCGGGGCAAAAGCACAGATCTACTGGTGCAAACATACAAAATGCCTCTCTGCTCCAAGCCAGAGACAGCTCTACCTGGCTTTCCCCAGCTCTACCCATCACTGCTCCTTACAGTTTCAGGGCAGCACTGGGAGGACAAGCAGCAAACACTACTGACACGTTCACAGCAGCCCAAGGTGGCAGTGAGAAGACCCAACCAAGAAGAGAGTCTAAGCATCTCAATGCTGTGCTCACCCAATACATGTTTTCCGAGAGTCAGAAGTAGCCAGGAAGAGGGATGAGCCACATAGCCATTTCTGAGATGCAGAATTACTTTCTAGTGTTGGGCTTCAGTTCCGTACTATGTGCAAGTCCTGCCTCTTACAGAATGATGGGCCTCCCTGCGGTGCTAGAGTGCAAGCCCTCCGGGCAGTGGAGACGTGGAGATCCATGGTGAAAGTCTCATTTCTACCTGCCTATTCCCTCCAATTCCCTGTTTAATTAGAGGGTGCTCCAACTCAGGCACATTTAGCACACTTTCATGAACATTTAGTTCTCATCTACTACATGCAGTTACAAGAAGACACAAAACTACAATCTCTGCAGCAAAGGGGTTAGGTCTAATCAGAAAAAAAGCTATTCTTAAAAGAGTATATACTGTGTCATTGTTTTTGATAAAGGCAATAATGCCACTGCAGTTCAGAGGGAGTAGAATATTCCTAAGGACAGGAATGTTTGGGGGAGTGTTTCATAAAAGAGGTAGGAAGGACCTGGGCTGGACTTGAGAAGAAAGAAGTGAAACTGAAGGCAAAGGGTTATCCCCAAGAGGGGCAAAAGGAAATGGATTAGCTGGCAACAGGATCTGTGTGAGAAAATATCACAAATGGAATGATTACCAAACCACTGGCGAAGTGAGGATTAGGACAAACCTGGGAGAGGTGGGTTGGGACCAGCTGGGCAGCAGCACCGTAAATGCCACATTAGGACATCAGATCTCATCCTGTATGCCTGCAGCAGTTTTGACTCACTAAGTCTGTTGCTCATAATAGTTAAAAATGCTGACATTTACAGATGAATTATGTACATACAAAGTTAAAGTAGATGGAAGGTCCGCTATCCTAATATCCTACTTATTTGCACTTAAAAATGCCCAGAACAGAAGTACTGCTATTAGCTATCTCTGAGTAACAAAACAGGCTTAATCAAGCAAGAACCATCTAATACTCCTAGGTATTCACAAGGCAGTAAAAGCATTAAAAAAAACACAATAAAAGTTCTTGGTTATTCTGTAACTTCCTTGAGGCAACAGTCCTAACACAGAGTTAGACCAGAATGGACTATAATGGACCCCTGAACCTAAAATTGCATGCAAAAGTTATAGTTAAGAAGACTAAGGAAGAGATCTGTTCTCTTTCTACATCTCAAAGATACCCGAAACAGACTAAGAGACTAACCTATGGTTATTTTTCACAGAAAACAGCAAGCATTTAACCCTGCGGAAGCCTTAACTTTCTAAAAAAAGTGTTAATCAGAGGGGAGTTGGGGGGAAGTTAGCTTGAGGCCATTTTGAGAAGCTCCCAATATTTTTGTGTCTTCCTTTCTTGTAAAGAACTGTCCAAGGAACTGGTCTCACCAAAATGAAAATTCATTCAAGATTCAAAAAATGGCCCAAGGGAGGGTAAAGAAATACCTAAAGACTACTCACTCAACTTCTCTCTCTCCTCACAAGCAGCAACTCAAACAGCAACAGGCCACCAGCTGCCTCTGGTTTCAGCATCTTCTCCAAAAGCATCTCCTGACCCAAGGGATAGTTTCTTGCAAAATTAAACATTCTGAGGTGATAAGATCCTGACACAAGCACACAAAGTATTGTTGTTCAGCTTCTTAGTCGTCTCAGGCAGGCTTTCTGTATGACCACAGAAGCCTGTGCTGAGAAGCCAAGGGATCACAGGCAAGCAGAAATGTTTTCTGGGGCCCTCAGCACGTTTCCTAGACCTGCACACCTTACGCGGGGTCTCTAACCCTCCTACCCTCACAAAAGAAGGGAGCCTGGAAGTCTGTTTCATTGGGCAAGATACATTTACTCTGTTAAAAGTTAATTTGGCATTCACGAGACAAAAAGAAGTTTCATTTCTTTTTCTGATTCTAACACCCTCTTACATTTCTTTTGTCTCCTTGACTACACTTGGCAGATTATCTTTTTAGGCGATAAAACCAATCAAGTTACCACCAATACTCACTTTCTCCCAGAGGCAAAAGAGGAAGCCCTTACCACAACTCCAAAAAGTGATTCAAAACAACAAAATAAACATATATATATATATATATATATATACATATATCCCGAACCAAAATTCGGGCATCAGGAACATTTGATCGGGCCCTTCAGGAAGACGCAAACGGTGAGCTCCGAGGAGTTCAGGAGGCAGGCGTCGGGCAGAGGGGCCTTCGCCTGGTCTGAATCACAAGGGCCGTCACACTGGCCGGCCTGCTTTGCGGGGGCTTTCGACTGGCTGACCTAGTCTTAGTCTCAATCGGTCTGAAAGTCACTCGCAGGAGCGACATCTAAGAAAACAGTACGTGCATTTCTCACCTGGGAACAACACAAGACCCCGGAGAGCATCAAGCTGGCACTGGACACGTTTCAGCGCTGCGGGTCAGCGGAGCCCAGGGCTTCAGTCACAGAAACTAGTTTCCCGCTACCCCGCCGACCAGCCCTCAGGCGCGGGGCTTTCGGAACTCTACCCCGAGGCCGTCCTGCGACCTCGGCACCAGCATCGAGGAGACTTCACGGGCGGCCGATCAGGACGCTCGAGCGATGCTCAGCCGATGCCCCTGCCCTGCGCGCGCCAGCTCCAACCCCGCGCCCGCCGCCGCCCACCCCGCGGCGTCAGGCCGGTCTTTCGGCCCGGCTCCTGTCACTCACCGGCCCGGCCCGGGCAGCGGGTGCCCACGGCTCCCCACGGGAGCTGGGCCCCCCGGGCCTCCAGGTTTCGGCCCGCCCCCTGGCAGGCAGCGCAGGTGGCTGAGATCCGCAGGAGCGGCCCCGCACCGGCCGCTCGGTTCAGCTCCCGGCGCTGCCCACTAGGTACGGATCAACAACAAGATGGCGGCCAGCCGAGGGGGCGGGGGCCGGGCGTCATAGTAACCAGGACGGCAAAGAACCCGCCCCCAGCTTAGAATACTCCCAATCAACAACCTCTTTGCCCAACGCCCAGTGTAGTGCCTCTCGATGACAGGTTGGCCGGCCTGTCAGTCAGAGCCTACCTCTAGCGGCCCAGGCCGAACGCTTCAGCACGTGACTGTGACGGCACGGATTGGCGCACGCGCGCCGTTCCCGGAGTTGCTGGAGGCAGTGCTTTGGCTAGCCATTCCGGAGGCCGTAGCGCCCTTGTCATCCGTGAGTTCTCGGCTCCTGAGGGGAGCCGACAGCTTCTTCTCATGCACGCATGCACACTTAGGGAATGTCTGCTGTATGCTTTTTTTGGTCACTCACCCTGGAAGGCAGGACTTGTCCCTCACTACTGAGGAAACAGACTCAGTGTGGCAGGCTGGGCCAAGGTTACGCCACCTCTGGAAATTTAAGCGCCGAGTTTCGCGCCTCCTCTTACTGGCTCCTGTGTATAATGCCCTCTTTCCAGTGGATTCCCTAGCTTTGCCCTTCATCAGCCTTTTGTGCCCCAGCAGTCTCTGGCCTGTTACCCACGTTTGTCCTGCCTGGAGTTCAGTCCTCAGCACAAGTCCTGGCACATAACAGACACTCTTATTCCTGTCCTAGGGCATCTTGTCTCCGGCTCTTATAACAACATCTTTTGCCCTGGACTGTCATGGTCTGCCACTGAGCACAACTTACCAGCCTTGGGGAGACTGTTACCTTGGGTTTGGCATCAAATGTAATCACATAGCATGACTCACAACAAGTGACCGGACTAGCAAGCTTTGTGACTTTTGAGGCTTGCTTGTTCTATCTGTGGAATGAGGATAAAAATCAAGCTCCTTAGAGATGAGCATTTAATGAGCCCTTAGAGCATTCTAAGGGCTCAGGAAAAGTCTGCCTGCAGCTGCTTCCTGTAACATCCTGCTGTGAGGCCAGCTCTAACACCCTCACTTCAGTGGAAGCACCATGAAGCATATTTTTCCCACAGAAGGCACTCGACTTCCTCTGCCTGGGGCACTGTAACTGGCTCAGGAAGGGAGGTCCTCAGCTACTCTGAAAGTGAAAGTGTTTCAGTCCTGTCTGACTCTTTGCAACCCCATGGACTATACAGTCCATGGAATTCTCCAGGCCAGAATACTGGAGTGGGTAGCCTTTCCCTTCTCCAGGGGATCTTCCCAACCTGGGGATTGAACCCAGGTCTCCAGCATTGCAGGCAGATTCTTTGCCAGCTGAGCCACAAGGGAAGCTACTCTGAGAAGGTTCAGATCCATAAACTTGACAGAGGGAAGAAGACTGAGAGAACTTGGAGACACCACAGTTAAGATAGCCTCCACCAAGACAGCAGGTCTTCTGGGAGAGCTGGCAGTATTCTGAGACTTGATGCCAGGCTGGGTGTGGGAGTGGGCTAGCACTTTCCCCCACAGAACCCACCCTCCTGCATACTGCTGTGGGCCACTTGGCAATGTGCAGCACAGGGGACAGAGGGCCCATGAACCAACGAGATCAGGAGGATATGGGAACACCTGCTCAAAAGGGGGCTATTCTCAATCCTTCCATGGCTACCCATGCCACAGGGTACTCAACCCTCACTTCAATGCAAAAGCTCCAGATGCAAGAAAACCTCCACATACAGTCAGCACACTGCCCTGGAAGTTGGTGGGGCTCCTGGGCCCTCCCCATCTGCTAGAGTAGGGATCCTCTGAGGGGACAGGCCAACTGGAGGCCCCCTCAGTCACTGACGAGGATAACAGTATCTTAGCTCTGCAGAACATTAATCACAGTCAGCACTGTACAGTGCCTTCTTGAAAGAAAAAATAAACTTGCTCCCATAAGACAGGGCATCCTCCAAGTGAGAACAAGGAAGCACAGATCTCAGAGCTTCTCCCACACATAGGTTACCAGGCAAGGACTCTTCTGTTGGTAATTTTGTTTATTATTGTATCAGCTTGAAAACACGTGATCATGTGAAGAAGAAATTCTGCAAATATGCAGCTCCTGGGCCTCAGAGCCAGCGCCGGGCTCCTGTGTGCGTGTTGAACAGGTAATCTCTGCCTGTACCTGAGTTCAGATTGTCAGGGGAGAGAGAGAGGGCCCTGCTGGCTTCGGCAACACTGCCTCCCTCCCCTAAGGGCAGGGAAAAATATTCCAGGATCCTTGGTGTGACTGACCCCCACCCCCACTCCCTCCTGCTTGATCTGGCTTGTCCTCTCCCTCCTTTCTCAGCAGATCATTTGAGGTCTGCCTCAGATACGCAGGAAGCATCCATGAGCCCCTGAAACTTGCCATCAGCTCCCCTGAGCCCCGTGCCAGATTACTCTACCATAATTTGGGGGCCTCTTCCCTCACAACTTTCCCCCCATTAACCCCCAGAGGCAGGAACCAGATCAGGGTCCCAGTGTCTGGCAAACACTGGCTGAAAGATGAGTAGGAGTGAGAAGAGACCCCATTCAGGGAAAGAGTAGATAGTGGATGTCTGGTGGTAGGCAGAGATATTGAGATGAGGTCTGGAGAGAAAGTGGGTCCAAGTGGAGAATGGTTTGGAAAAAGGGGAACTCACGGGAGTCCTGGGCTCTGCCATCAAAATGCTGCTGAAGGGAAGAATGAGGAGGGTGTAACGAGGTGAACCCCGCCCATGGGGAGCAGGTGGAGGCTTGCCCCCCCAAAAGGGTCAAGAACCCACCTGCTTCCTGCATCCTGATGGTGCTGGTATGGGCCCTCCCACAGGGACAGCCAGCCATGGGAAAGGGGGCAGGCTTGGCAGGGAGCACTCAGCAGCAGCCTCAGTGCCCACTGCACAGGATGGTAGGTTGACATACCAGGCTTATGACACTGCTGGGTGCCTGGGTTGTCTCCATCCTCGGGGCCTCTACGAACCCTTCAATGGATCCCTTAGTTCCCTGGATACTGGGGCAAAGCAGAAGTAGGATAGGGCTCTGAGCCCCGGCCTGAGTTTCAGAGATGGACTTCCAGGCATAGAGGTAGGCAAAGGAAGCTTACCTGTTTAGAAGTAGGGCCTGGGGGGGTTCGCTTGATGCCTGGAGCACCTGGGTCAGCCTAAAATGCCAGGAGGAGAGAACAAGCAGTGAGAACAGAAGACCTGCTGGTTCCAGGAATCCACACCATTCATCTGCCACTCTTACTGGAGATAGCCTGCGTCCATAGGCACTGGCCACACTGTTACTCCCGTCTTCCCCGGGGTTCAGTCCTGTGCTCACGAGAAACTCAGTGTCTTAGGGGAAGGTCATGTTTCAGGTGGAAGGCAGGGCTCAGGAGTAGGGGTAAATACCCAATGCATGACAGACTCAAGAGTCTAAAGCCCTTGACCTTATCTACACCCATCCCATTCCAGACTGGGTTCTGCCAGTGAAGGAGATAACTTTCTCCCAGTGTCTCTCTGCCTCTAAGTTGATGACCCCCGGAGGGAGGGCAGTCCTCGTTAATATCATTCTGTCTGCTCATCAGCTTGGGCAGTCTTGGGTAGAACCAGCTGTCACAGATGCAAGGCCTGGGGGGAGGCGAGCAGCATAGGAATAGGAAGCCTACCCCCGCAGGAGCCAGCTGAGGAGCCAGCCCAAACCCAGGAGGAGAAGGGCACTGGTCGCTGTCAGCACCACCACGAACCAGGGCTCCGGCTGCCAGAAAACCTCCGTGTCTGTCACAAGCAGGGGTGTCATCCTTGAAGGCACCTGAAATGGGGCCACATCTTCACCACTGTCCTGCCAAAACGCCCCAATCATCCAACCTTCAAACCCCTCCAAGGCCTGGGCCACCCCACACCCCAGGTTTCTCCTCTGTATTGCCAGGCTCTTTGCACTCAGCCATTTCCTCTGAAATGCCTTCCCCAATTGTTCCACCTCAAAAACTATATCCTTTCTCCCCACCCAGCAAGGGCCTCAGGAACCCCCTCACTGTGGTTCTATGGGTGCTGGTGGCCCCTGTGCTGGCCCTCCAGGGCACTAGATGCACAGTGACAGTGGCTGTGGTGCTGAGGTGGGGGCTGGAGGGGCCGGCATCGGCCACACGGATCAACAGCTCATGTGTATGGGGCTGCTCTGGCCAGGGGACCCCCAACGTGAGGTCGTTGTGCACCAGGACAGCTCCTTGCAGGCTGAATCGGCTCTGACTATTCCCTGAAAAACAGAGTGGGAGAAGAAGGGAACCATGGCTGGCCTTGGCCTGCCCCTCCCCCACAACCTGGGGGGCCCCCACAGCCCTCACCCCCCACAATTCTGTAGGAGAAAGCCAGGCGCTGAGGCTCCTGGGGCACCCGACACGACATTGTGGTCACCTCCAAGCTACGGCCCAGGTGAGCGTAGATGGTGAGCTCCTGAAATGGGGGCTCACACTCGGGGGCATGGTCGTTCACATCCTGCCGGAAGGTAGTCACATCACCACCCCCAAACCCCCAGTCCAGCCCCTCAGCCTCCCCCCATCACAACCGGAATCTCAGTGTCAGCCAACAGTTTCCAGAACTTTCCACAACAAGGCCCCAACCCTCTCCAGCCAACCAGTGGAGGAAACGGAAGCAGAGAGGATAAGCAGAGCACCCGAGGGGGAGATGAACTCTTTCCAATTCTTTCTGACGCTTCGGGGCTCAGTTACCTCAACCTCAATGGTGATGGTGCAGGAGCCTGAATGGTGGCAGGTGGGGTCCTTGTCTTGGCTGTGGTCAGTCAGCAGGACAGTGAGCCTGTACGACTTCTGCAGCTCATAGTCCAAAGGCCCCAGGAGGCGAACCTCCCCTAGAAGAGGGGGCCACAGCCTCAGCTTGCAGAGTCAACCCTGGCTCCAGCCTCTCCACCCAGCCCTGGGGTGGGAGTACCGCTGAGACGGTCCACAGCAAAGGGGGCGGACCCGCCAGAGATGGAGTACTCAATTCTGTCATGTGGGTAATCCATGTCTGTGCCCACCACAGAGCCCAGCAGGGTGTGGGGCCTCGCGTCCTCACGAACCCGGAATGTGCGTGAGACACAGGTTGGGGAGAACTCGTTGACAGGCGTCACCATCACCAGCACAGGCACCT